TTGTCTTTCTTTTGAGGATTTTCCACGGCAGCCTGGAGGCCCCTCCCTCCTGATTTGGCTAGATTCCAAGACAATCAAAGAGCCACTCAAGCAAACAAACAAACAAACAAACAAAAATCAGGGCCGTGTGAGGAGAGCTAGTTCCTAGAGGATAAATATTTTCTGTTTCTTATAAATGGAAAAAATCCTTAGGTCATCTGTGCTTCTGAATGACCTGTTTCATGGCTCGTTCTTCATTTTTGGGTGGCTCTTTTTCCTCCTCCACTAGCACCCACGAGGACAGGGACCATATTCCAGTCTAGCGTGGGGGGATGGGAAATAGCCTCGGCAAAGGAAAGGAGAAACTTTGGTTTGAAAGATAATTTTCCTCCCTCCAGCTGTGCTGGGATTAGCCCCCACCTGACAGAGTGAGCACAGGAGAACCAGGCCAGCGAGGGTGGGCGGTGGGACCTGGGAACCTCCAGCCCTGAGAAGGGCAGCCGGGGAGGGAGCCAGACAAGAAACAGTGTTTATTGCTGGGCAGGACAGTGCATTCATGCCTGGAGTCGAGGTCCTGTGTATCTGCAGAAGGGTGATCAGAGGCAAAGCAGAATTTTCCTAATGCCAAGTTACAAGACACGAGGGCTCCAGAGCCTCCTCAGAGTGCTCAAGAAAAGCAGAGATGGGGGCGCCTGGGTGGCTCAGTGGGTTAAAGCCTCTGCCTTAAGCTCAGGTCATGATCCCAGGGTCCTGGGATCGAGCCCTGTATCGGGCTCTCTGCTCAGCGGGGAGCCTGCTTCCTCCTCTCTCTCTGCCTACTTCTCTGCCTATTTGTGATCTCTGTCTGTCAAATAAATAAATAAAATCTTAAAAAAAAAAAAAAAGAAAGAAAGAAAAGCAGAGATGTCTCTGCCAGCAGTGGTGGCTGTCTTTGGCTGGCTGGGTTGGTCACCGTACCATTGTCTGGAGAAAGGACAGTGCCCGGAAGAGCCCACTCCCATGAGCGTGTCCACCTCCTTCGTGCTGCTCCAGATTCTTCTTGCTGGTCTGGGATCTCGTTTTGATACTTCTGTTCCCAGAGCCCAGCCAGCTTCTCAGGATAAACTGTCCACCCCAGTCAGCTTCAGCCCATTCCCTTCAAAAGCACCCCTCCCCACTCACTAGGTCTATCCCAGGCCACCTCTACCACCTTCTTGATGCTCCCTTCTTGTCCCCTCCTGCTCCTACTCTGGATCCAACACCACCCAGCTTTCCTGGCCACCTCTGCATAGGATACCAGAACTTCAGGGGGGGACTTGATCTATGTGCTGCTTTGAACACCCCCAACTCCCACCACTGAGGGGATCTGATTCTGTGACTGGCAGGTGGCAAGGGGCCACAGCCTCTGTGGGCAGCCTACAGTGGGGAAATCTGAGATGGGTTACAGGGCAATTGTAGGCATAAAAGGAACCCAGCTCAGTGCCCGGGACACAGAGCCATCAGGCTTCAGATGATGGAATATGATGGAAGTTCCAATAAACCATGGGCAGGGAACCCGCAGGCCATCAGGGAAGCCTGGGAACGCACAGCAGCTGGGTGGGCAGAGGCAGGTGGTTCCCATACCGGGAGGCAGGGCGGTGATGTGGAAAGAGTGTGGGCTTCGGAGAGGCAGACCTCATGGAATTCTGGCTCCATATTCTGGCTCCATGTTCTGGCTCTGCAGCCACGGCTATAGCAGGTGTCTGTCTCAGGAATAATAACGCCCACCTCAGAGAGGTGACACAGGGGACATGCCCAGCTCAGGGAGATTCCAGCCCATGGTAGGCGCTCTGTAAACATCAGTCTCCCAACCCTCGGGCCCCCATCTCGTATGCTGGGCCTAAAATATAGGAAAGGGCTGAGGGGGGTGAGGCTTCACGGATGGAGAGGAGTGAGTAGTGATCAAGGCGGGAGGCCTCAGCCCCCTTGGCGGGCACCCTAGGAACCCTGTGGGACCCCTTTTGTTTCCTTGCCCTCCAGAGACATCCTGAAGGTGCCAGCTTGACCCACGGCAGTCCCCCAGCTGGACTGATGCTGTGTCTGGCTTGGCCTGTTGCAGGGTCCCCTCCAGGCAGTGTCCCCAGGGCCCGCTCCCATCAGCGGCCACAGCAGCAGCCTGGAGCTGGGATCCCACGGGGAGTGCAGAGGGCTAGTTATTCCACCAGCTTGTGCTCAGTGCAAATGGTGTTCCAGACATAAGAGTACAAAGGTGAGGACAGTTCAGGCCCTGTCAACGGCTTTGGGGGAGGGGATACAAAGGACAAATAAGGTGGGCTGAGGACTTTATTCACTCGCACCACTTTTTCCTCCACCTGGATCCTTCCTGAGTGGTCCATAGGCCAGAAGGTTCCTGAGAGCAGGGATTGGAACTTCACTTTCTCTCTTTCCTGCATCCACTCCACAAGCGTCCCTTCACTCTGAGGGGAGGAAGACAGCCTTGTGTCTCAGACCCAGAGACAGGATGTGGGGCCTGTCACAGTGCTCTTACCCAGCTGTCCCTCAGCCTCTGTTGGCGTCCCGTATCACCTCTCACCCTGTCCCTCAGCACACGGCCTTGCACCTGACTAAAGTCTAGGCTATTAGGCGTAAGTGTTCTCAGTGCCACAATCCCATGTCCCTTTCAGAGCCTGTCCCGCCATCTTAATTCCTTGACCCCATCTCCATTCCCTCATTCCAAAACCTTGCTCCATTTGCTAGGAGTTTGGGTCTCTTTCTCAGCTGATTATATTCTCAGCTCTGAATGCTTGCTAGAATCCCTTCCCTGACTTTCAAAAGATCCCCATGAGCGCCCAGACCCTACTCCAGTGGACCGCCTTCACTGGTCTGGAGTACTGGCTTAGACCTCCGTATTTTTTTCAAAGTTCCCGGGTTATTTCTGAGCCTGTGTAAAGCACCATGGTTCTTGGCAACTGGGATCAAATAGCCACTCAGACTCGCGGGACTTCATGGTCACCGTCCCTGTGAGTCATCGTCCTTATTCTCTCTCCTCAGAGCCCTCTTTTGTCCCCCAAGTCATCCATCAGCTCCTGCCTGGTCTGTAGCCCACAGCCAGCTGAGCCCCTTCACTCTAACTACCAAGCTCGGAACTCGGTTCTCTGCTGTGGGCTCTCACGATCTCCCACAGGAAACCCCGCTCAGCCTCCAGCACCCTGGTCAGCTGCTCTGGAAAAAAAATTCCAAACCCAGGATAGCTCTGCCTACCCAGGAAACCCCTGTGAGCTCTAGGGCACAAAGAGATGTGGGAGAGTTCTTAACGTCTTCCCCAAATCTGGGTGAGAAGACAGTAGCATCTAGAGAATTAGCCTCCATCCCTCCATTTGAGAAACCAGTCTTCTTCTAAGCCTTTCAACTGGAAAGTTCCTTCTGCTATCCCAGCTCAATTCTTACTGCTGCAAAGGTAGCAGGGGCAGTGGTTTTATGTGGATCCTTTGCTGAGGAAGTGACAGTGTCTCTACCCAGTTCTGGAAACACACACACACAGGCTTGGCCTTGTTGACCAGGGAAGCAAACTTGCCGCTGAGCCTTGAACTCCTGGCCCTCCTCCACCCACACGGTGGTGTTGACACCCAGGTTCAGAACGGTGGGAAGCTCTCGTCAATGGCCACCTCCTGTGGCAAGGGGTTGAGCCTGGTCCTATGACCTTGGCCTGCACCCCAGCCACTACTCTGAAGTTCTGTCTGTCAACCTAACCTGTTCATCCCTTTCTCCAATCCCTGTACCTCTGATTTTTTAAGCTCCTCAGGCCCCCAAGGACTTCCTGGCTGAGGTTTGCTGGCTCATGCAGGGTCACTGGGTGATCTGTCTGTCTGTCTGCCTTATATTCCTCCTCACTCCAGGACAGACAGGTACCTGGGCCAGTGACTGACACTCACAGGCTGCCCCCACCCCCAACTAACTTCACCCTCGTCTGGCCTCAGGGTCTCAGAACTGGTTCCCTATCTTAGCATCCCAGCAGGCCCAGAGTGTGGAGTCCCCCTCAACTCCACCCTTCCTGGGTGATACCCCACAAGCCCAGGCCTCTGTGCAGTGAGGAAAGTGTTGAAAAATACAGACCCCTGCCTGCCACACCCCCAGCTTCCCTCTAGGAAAGATCCAGTTCTTAGATGGAGGCTAGGGTCCCTGTCAGGAGCAAGACCATTTCTGCCAGTAGACACAGGTACTTCTTTTGTTGAAGGCCACAAACCATGCTACACATTCACCCTTCCCATGTTCTTCCTTTTTTCTCTCTCTCCTCTACTTCCTCCATCCTCCCAAACTCGGCCCCACGCTTCATGCGTGCTGTTTTTTCGGCTCTACGGAGAAAATTCCCCTAGAAACACAGGTTGCACAGGCAATCCACAGTGTGTTCGGTGTGTGTGTGTGTGTCTGTGTGTGTCTGGGTGGTGCCTGCTCCTGTGGGTTCTGGACTGAGGACGTGTACACACCTTGACTACTCAGAGACCAAGCCGTCAGATTGTGCTGTTTATTGAGGATGCAATGGGAGGACCTCTAAGAAGAAAGGAGATGTGGAGGGGCTGCCTCTTCTGTTTCTGGATATAGGAGAGAGAAGAGAGACCTGAACCATGAGATGGGGCCAGGTGGTGGGGACTGACCTCTCTTGTCCTTCGGCTTCGGCCCTCCCAGAATAGGCAGTTGTTGGGACTGAGGGCCCAGTGTGAGAGGGGGGCCTGGGTCCGAGACCCAGTAGCCGGACAGAGTAGTTAGTGACTAAGCGGGATGTTGTGTCCAAGGCAGAAGGCCGGGAGCCTGGAGCTGAGCCCATCGCCTGGCTGGGAGACCTCAGCCAAGGAGCTGAATGCCAGGCACGTACCAGGAGGAATTACACCAAGTTTAGCCATCCACACCTGTCCAGGCTCAGGAAGATGCAGGCTGGGAGAAGTGTGATGGCCAGAGGGACAACGGCAGGGCAGGATGGAGAGGGGGCTGACAGCAGGTTGGGGGACAGAGCATGTGGAAGACAGCTGGGGATGCAGGGGTGGCGGGAGGGCAGGGGGCAGCCCTCTCTACCTGCTGGCTTTCTTGGAGGAGGTGCTCTGGCTGGAGCCCTTCCCCAGGGTATCTTTGTAGTCACTGCTGCTGCCCCTGCCCCGGACGTCCCCGCCGCGGACGCTGCACACGCCAGAGATGCAGCTGCTGCTACTGGCCACGTAGCCGCCGCTCACGGAGCTGGGCCGGAAACCATAGCCTCCGCTGCCGCTGGTGCTGCTGATGATAGCTGCAGAGGGACAGCGGGGGAGCGGTACCCTCAGGGGCGGGGCTAGGCGAGGCCCCAGTTCCCCCGGGGGCTCAGGGTCTCTTGGAACAATGGGTTAGGTGCCCGCCCCGCGGCTCCGCCCCCTCCCCTGGGGAAAATAGCCCAAAGACCGCTTTCCCCAGGTCCTGTCCTTGCCATGCCCCCCACCCCCCCCCCCGACTCAATCTAGCTGATTCTTAATTCTCAGAAGCCCAACATTTTGGTCCAGGTACCAATACAACCACCTGTTTTTCTGGATATACACCCCCTCTTCTATTAGCCTTTTTGCCAAAATTCCCCTCCAACCTTTCTTTCCCTCTCACTAGCTGCCCTATAAATGGCATCTTTTGGAGCTCTGGTTAAATTCCTAGTCCTGCTGAGAAATACAGAGATCCAACACTGTCAGCTTATGCTCTGAGGTCCCCATTCAACAATTCCCTCAGCTGCCTCTAATTCTCCAGCGCAGGGCTGGTTGCAACTTGTGGCCCTGGTGCCCTAGTTCTCACAGACACTCATCCTCTACTTCCTCCTCTAGCTTTCCTAGAGGCCACCCCCTGGGAGCAGGGAGACAGAGTGATAGGGAGGAAGAACTCTGCTCTGGGAGTCAGGAGAACTGATTGCTGGCTATGCCTCTGCTATGTGGCTGTGTGATCTCAAAGTTTTTTCTCCCCGGTCCTGAGTTTGCTCAGCTACACACACGGGGCTGCAATTAAGACCCTTTCCTGTCTGCAGATTCTACAGTTCTAGGGCCCAGCACACAAGTACTTACAGATGCTGACCGGGGAGGGAAATTCTCCTGACATCCTGTAAGGGAGAGAAATAAAGTAAGAGCAAGCAGTCATCCAACCCACAGTCTCTTAACCTCAAAGCTAGTATCCCCAACCAGCCTGTTGTGGGTTTTTGAACCCAATAGGCACCTCTGGAAATTTCCTAGGCTTTTGGTGAAAGCAGAGCTTAGGAAGCTGTGGCTGCAGCCCCTGAATCTTTGGGGGTAAGCAGGCAACAACCCGAATCAAACAGTCGGCACAAGGTACACATGCAGGCTGACATGCACACTTCCCAAGGACCGGCCTCAGCCCTGAGTCTTTCTCGGCTGCTGAGAACATTGGGGAAGATGGAGTGGTTGCCCTGGGACACGTCTGATAAGCTCATCTTATTTCTGGACAGGTAAGGATGATGGAACAAGAAGGCCTAACATAGTAATGGGGTGGGGTTTATTTTTTTATTTTTTGGTTGGGGTTGGGGGTGGTGGTAGTATGCCGAGGTATACCCAGGAAAATTGTAAGATGGAATGAGCTAATCGCTGAGGCGCAGTGCTTGGCATGAGTGAGTGCTCACGCAGGCGTAGGTATTATTTATTACTGTTATTATTCCCATCATCACCACCCCTTCACTCCCAAGGACTCATCTTTTCTGGATGAGTGTGTTAAGGATTCTCTTTTGTCCTTCTCAAACCCCCCTCACCCCTCCCCGGCCTTTCCTGCCGGAGCACCGCCCCCCACCTGCACTCCTCGCTCTCCAGCAGCTTGCGGTAGGTGGCAATCTCCATGTCCAGGGCCAGCTTCAGGCTCATAAGTTCCTGGTACTCGCGCAGCATCCGGGCCAGCTCCTCCTTGGCCTGGTGCAGGGCGGCCTCCAGCTCATCCAGCTTGGCCCGGGCATCCTTCAGGGCATTGTCACCCCTCTGCTCGGCATCTGCGATGGCCGTCTCCAGGTTGGAAGCCTAAACAGGGAATCAAAGAAGCTGGAAAACTGGGCGGGGTGATTAGAGTCATCCACATCCAAACCCCACTAGTGCTTGGAGACTCCTGGGTGGGGATGCCCACTTCTATCTTTCCCACCTCCCACTCCTCTAATAGGCTGGAGCCCCTTCTGGGGCCAGCAAGTCCTTCCTAGCTCTATCTCCACTTGCTTGTATTTAGGCATTGGTGGTGATGTTCAATAGTGCACCCTGCCCTCCTGCTCTCCTGTGATTGTGACCAGTTCAGTACCACGTCAGTTCATTAGGAAGACATTTACTTGGCCATCCATGTGCCAAGGATACAGAAGAGCTTTCTGCTCTTGAGTTGTTTCAAGTCTGGGATGAGAGATCCTTAGAAGGTTGTGTTGTGGGTACAATGAGAGTGGCTGCCCAGGTACATAGGACCACAGATGAGGGGCACAGGGAAGGAGGTTCCCTAGAACTAACTATTACTTCCCAAGTGCTTACCATATGCCTGGCACTACCCTCAGCCCCAACATGCCTTTTGCGTGTCTTAGCTCATACAGTCCTTAAACTCGCCTGTGCAGAGAGGACAACTAATCTGCCCCACGTCATGGAGTCACTAAGTGTTAAAGCCCCTGGGAAGGTGGAAAGAGCACTGGTCTAGGAGTCATAGTGGGTTCCAATCACAGCTCTGCCATTCGCCAGCTTGCAACCCACTTAACCTCTCTGAGGTTTCCTCATTTGTAACAATGGGTAGCTCTTGCCTCATAGAATCTTTGAGACACTTCTGGGTGAGAAAATGATAAGAACCCCCGCTGTTGTTATTCTGTAACCTCATCCTGTCTCCCCATCTACTCAAGCTGAGACTGCAACCTAGAGCCCTGGGAAGAGTTTGAGCAAGGTCTTACTGATAGTTAAATAGTTACAGAAGTCTCTTGAATGGCGCTCTCTGAGCCCACTTGTCAGTCATTTCACTAACAAATGTTTATTAAGCTGCTACGATGTCTTGGCACTGTACTAGATGCTGGAAAAGCAATGGGAAACAGAACAGCCAGCTCCCTGCCTTCCTCCAGTTCCATGGAAGAAGGGACAGGCTGGTGTGGGGCAATCACCAAAGTGTGACAAGGACAAGAGAAGCACAGATGCCAGAACAGCATGCGATTAAGGCAGAAGGCACAGGGGGGTGTGGTCCTACCCCATTCTGGGGAATGAGAGAGACAGCTTCCTGTAGGAAGGGCATCAAAGCAGAGGTTCTTGGGGAGAGTGGGAGATGAGACGCCCCAGGGATGTCTGCTCTAAGTATTTGAGGCAGTGACCTCATTGGTTCCTTTCCTTTCATGGGCAGAGATTTGAGAGGCTGATATTCTTGACCAACCCTTTCCCCCTCCAATTATGCCCTCCTGCCCCAGGCCATGGGCAACCAGTTCCCTCACCTGCTTCTTCACATTCTCAATCTCTGAGCGGATTCTCTGGATGAGCCGGGTGAGCTCTGAGATCTCATTCTTGGTGTTCTTGAGGTCATCCCCATGCCGGCCAGCTGCCAGCTGCAGCTCCTGGAACTGGGACCCCAAAGCACAGAGCATGGTGAGCATGCTGGATAGTCATAGGACCACATGATATCTCGGGATTGCTAATGTCATGGGGGAAGGACATGTTGGACACTTAACTGGACATGGCCTCTGTTCTGAGAATGATCAGGCCCAGTCCTCATGCCTGCTGGGGTTGCCCTCCCCAGTCCTGCTTCAGCCCAGCTTACCTTGGTCTGGTACAGTGCCTCGGCTTCTGCCTTGCTTTTCAGGGCGATCTCCTCATACTGGGCACGGACCTCATCAATGATGCTGTCCAAGTTCAGATCCCGGTTGTTGTCCATGGACAGGATGACGGACATATCGCTGATGTGGGACTGGATCTGAGCGATCTCCTATATGGAAACAAGGCTGGTCTCACGTCTTGACTTTCAGAGGCTAACAGCCCTCCCACCCATTCCTTCAAGCAAGATAAGCAAATCTGGGTGATGCTAACTTAGAGGCTCTGGGGCAAAGCTATTGCTCCCTGGGCAAAGTGAGTTTCCTCCAGGCCGCAGATAGATTACTGCCACCATGAAGCCAGGACATGGACCATTTCCTTTCCACCCAGAAGGTGGAGACTGGGAGCCACTCAGGGCTGAAGTGGGAGATGAATGGCTAACCACAGGGTCTCCCTGAGATCAAAGAGCCTCTCTCAGCCCCCAGAACAGAATTTTACTTACTGCCAGCAGAGGGGTGGGTGGAGACACAGACTTACGGCTTCATAGAGACACTTGAAGAACTTGATCTCCTGGTCCATGGAGTCCACTTTGGCCTGAAGCTCAACCTTATTGGCATAAGCAGCATCCACATCCTGGAAGATGCCCCCGACATCCCTTGGTCACTGCCAGTGCAGCAGAGAAGGAAACACTCACCCCAGCCTGGGTGCCCGGCACAATAAAATAGTTGCCCTTTTCTCTGAGAGGCTCATGGGAGAGGAGACGACAGAGCAAAAGGCCCAGCCTTGCACAATCCTGAGTATCTGCTCCTTCAGCAGGGATGGGGTACCCCCCTAAGGAAGGGAGCCCCAGCCAGGCTGCTGTCAGTCATCCCTTTGATGTGTAAGTTGGGCCCTGTGGCTGCAGGGGAGCCCTTGTGTGTCATCTTCTGCTGTTCTTTACTGTGGACATGAAACACTCAGAACGGCCATCATCTCTCTGCCTTTTCATTCCCTTTCTGGATAGTCCATTGTGTTTTTCCTCAGCCTTTACGTCATTAGTTTGGAATCAGCTCTTTCACTGAGAGCAGAGGATACTGGTAAGCTCAGCTCTCCCTGGTCCCAAGCCAGCCCTGGACTCAAGGCCTGTCTTGCCTCTCACCTTCTTGAGCAACACAAACTCATTCTCTGCAGCTGTTCGCCTGTTGATTTCTTCCTCATACCTGCAAGAATGCCAGAGCTTTGTCAGTGAATATGTCTCACTTAGAACCCTCTCACTGAGAACCTCTTTCACTCAAAGAAAACTTTAAGAGGCAGTATGGCCATTTGAGGGACGGATGCTAATGGGCCACAGAGACCTGGGCTAGTGAGGCCACCAGGCAAGGAAGGCTTCTTGGAGGAGGGGACATGGTAACTAAGTCTGGAGGGGGAAAAAAGGTGATTATTGAAGATCCAGCTACAAAACTGAGGTAAGAGCATGTGGAGCAAATGTTCTATGGGAAATCCTACAGGAAGCAAGAAGCAAGCTCTTCCTTGAAAATTTGAATGAAGCCTTACAAATGAATGGGAGTGTTTTCTTAGTTCCTCCTCATAGCCATTCCTCCAGTGAGGACCCAGAAGCTCCAGGAAATTATGAGTAGCTTCATCAAGGTTTCCCTCATCCAGGCAGATAAGGTCCTTTGACCACTGTTCAGCTCAATGGACATTTGTCCCAAGGGCCAGACCAGAGGCTGGAGGAGCAGAGAGCAGTTTCCAGAGTTGTGTTGGGATGATTCTGCCTGGTAAGACGAAGAACAATGCCCCTCATCTCCAAAAACTTTAAGCCGGGGGTAGCTGCCATTCCTGCAGAAGGAGCTCAGAGGGAAAGGGACAACTGTCCAGCTGCAGGGGGATCCCTTCCCCACTCACCTCTTCTTGTAGTCCTCCACCACATCCCGCACGCTCCTTAGCTCTGAGTCCAGCCGCACCCTGTCCCCAGACAGCGTCTCCAGCTGCTTCCGCAGGTTGCTGATGTAGCCCTCAAGGATGGGCTCCAGGTTGTTCTTGCAGTTGTTCAGGTCCAGCTGCTGCAGCAGCTCCCACTTGGTCTCCAGCACCTGGTTCTGCTGCTCCAGGAACCGCACCTGGGACCCAAAGAGCAGAAACTGTTAAGCCCCCGTGGGAATAGTCACACTTGTCATTCACAAGGCTCTGTGCAAGGCGCTCTGCCTGCATTTTCTCCTTCACCCGCTCACAACAGCTGTATGAGGCGGGCGAGTTGTCAATCCCATTAGATAGGAAGGAAATGGACCCATAGAGAAGTTGAGCCTCTTTCCAAGGTCTACCAGTTTGTTAAGAGGGGGAGCCCAGAAATAAACCCAGACTTGTGTCCCATAACTCATGCATCCAGTCTCTTAGAACCCCATTATGGCCAATCCAGCTCAGGATAGGGGAGTGCCTAAAAACTACCAAGACAGGGTCAGGCTGGGTCCATCTTTGGAAAAGTTGACCGTTCTGCAGAAGGGAATCTATTCTTCATTTTGTAGCCTATCAAACTCAGTGAGGCTCAATGGGCCAAGAGCTTCCGGGTGTTCTAAATTTCTGCATCAGGCCCCAGCTCCATCATTGCTCATGGCCTCCTCCCGCTGCCCTAGTTCAGCCCCTTAGAACCATCTTCCACAGAGCAAGCATGGCACGTGGGGCAGGATGGATATATAGGGCTCCCCATGCCACTGTCACCTCACTGGGCCAGGAAACTGACCAGAGGGAGGGGATCTACATACTCTTCTCTTGTGCAGTTTGGGTGGGGGGCACGACTTTTAAAATATGACTTAATCCACATGAGCACAGCCATTATCTAAATAAGGTTGTGTTCTCTATTATCATAAGCACAGGACCTCCAAAAACTGGCTGGGATTCAGCGTTGAGATGGGAATAGCTGCCAAACTGCTTGCCCCCTGCAGATCATCCAGTCTTGGTTTGGTTTAATCAGTCCTGACTCTTTCACGTATATCCCTAAGACTGAGCGTTAGTCGCAGAGTAAACCCTACACCCAGGACGCCACAACTGGCATCTGGGCTACACATTGGACTGTCAGGATCACAAATAGGTTGTGTCCTCATTCTGAAGAATAAAGTCACAGGGACAGTGCTGGCCCCTGAGGCAAACAAGGGATGCTCGGAACAGGAGTCTAGAGCTGGGGCTTGGGGCAGGGGCATGGGGAGGCTCCAATGGCCAATGCCCATTTCAAGCATAGGCTTTGTCCTGGGTTGACCCACCCTTGGTACCTTATTGTCATTTAGTCAACGTAGCCCCCAGCGCCCAGGAGTGGCTCTCACCTTCCTCCCTCCTGCTCCCACCCCAGATGCCATACCCTGGCAAGGCATGTCCCTCCATGCTTTTGCCGACTCATAGAATGAGAGTAATAATTTCTCATCTATCAAAAGTCAGGGGCATCTCTGGCTTGGATGATGCCTTGAGCCCTCCTCCAGACCCTGGATCCTCCCCTTCTCAACCCTCCTCCCCCATCTCTCTGAAGATGAAAATGATAGTAACGCTAACTATCCCTTCAGAGCACTTCCGTCTGTGGGAGGAGGCACTGTGCCAAGATCTTCACATGCATTTTCTTTTATCAACCTGACAAAACCCCGGAGAGGCAGGCTATTATCTGCATTATAGAGATAAGGAAATGGAGGCGCAGACAGAATAAATAACTCTCCACACAGCTGCTCCGTGGCTGGCTTAGTCAAGACCCAGCTGGTAAGTGATGGGACCAGAGCAGAAGCTAGGTCTGACTTCAGAGCACTGTGGAGGCGTCCTCCCCACTGCCCTCTTCTGCTTCTCTCTCGAGTCCTTAGCCAACTGAAAAAAAAAGCCCATGGCCAAGCCATCTGGCAATGACCCGTCAAATGACTAGTGGATGAGACCTGCTGATAATGGACGAGAGGAAGACTCTGGGGCAGATTTCCTCTCACTGCTTTTTTTTTTTTAATTTTTTTTAAGATTTTGTTTATTTATTTGACAGGGAGAGATCACAAGTAGGCAGAAAGGCAGGCAGAGAGAGAGGGGGGAGAAGCAGGCTCCCTGCTGAGCAGAGAGCCCAATGTGGGGCTCAATCCCAGGACCCTGAGATCATGACCTGAGCTGAAGGTAGAGGCTTAACCCACTGAGCCACCCAGGTGCCCCCTCTCACTGCTTTTTCCACACACAGGCTGCACGGACCCCAAGCTTAGCAATGGCACCAAGCCAACCCTCGATTAAGAGACAGAGATCTTTCCTTCGGAGGTCCTGCCAGTAACCCCCATCAGCCTCTGCCAGTAGAGACAGACCTCCCTCTGTGTTCTCTTGAGAACGACTGCAGGGAACCATACATAAGTCACCTCGATGAAAGAAAACATCTGCTTTATCCACATTCAGTGCTTCCTCATATCTAACCTGAATCCCTGCTCCTGTAACAGAAGCCCATGCCCTGAGAAGAGAAGGTTAGACCCACCTTGTCAATGAAAGAGGCAAACTTGTTGTTCAGAGCCTTGATCTGCTCCCGCTCCTGGGCTCGCACTTTCTGGATCTCCGGGTCCAGCTCCACATTGAGGGGGGCCAGGAGGCTTTCGTTGACAGTGACCTGATGGATGCCCCCTGGAGGGCACACGGACGGACACACAGGCCCCAGGGCCACACTGCCAAACATGCTGCCAGCAAAGCCACTGGCCCGGCCTCGACCAAACCCATAGCCTCCGCTCTTCCCGCTGCCGCTGGCCATGTTGAAGGAGATATTCCGGATGCCCCCCAGGCTGTAGAGGCTCCGGCTTCCAAAGCCCCCACTGAGCCCTTTGCCCCCTGCCCGGTAGGAGGATGAGCTGCCCCCTGAGAGCACCGCTGAGCAGCCACTGAAGCCCCCCTTGGTGGCAGCTCCCGACTTGCAGGTGAATTGGCGGCTCATGCTGGTGGTGGAGAGAGGGTTCAGATGCAGGAGGGATGAAGACCAAATCCTACACAGGCTCTACAGGTTGCAGTGAGGACCGGCAGGCACCCTTCCTTATATGTGCTTGGCATTGGGGCTCATGGATGGGCAGTCAAGAGCTTAATTCATGGGTTTGGCTTGCCTGGGAGCAAGAAGTCATTTTCTCTATGCTGAGCTAGAGATCAAGCCCTCCCCACCTCTGAAACAACATGAAACCTTCAAATTGCTGGGCTTGCAAGCCTTGCTCATGTAATTTAGGTTTTATCTAATTAACCTGCTGTTATAGGGTAATTTGCCTCAGGCCCCAGCCTCTCCAGAGGGATGTCACTGGACTTCACCATCCCTATCCTGATTAATCTCTGGGTCATGGACTTCCTCCTGGGGGCTCAGGGAGTTACATGGGATAGACCCTCAGACAGGGCAGACTCCTGGGTATAGTATCTGGGGGCTCCATCCATAGGTGTATCCTCCTCTTTCCTGGAAAGACCCCCTTCATTCAGGCCTCCCAGAGAGACACCCCACTGGTGCCCCCTTCACCTAACCCACAGAGGACAGTGGCCATGTCTGCTGGGCCGTGCGGAGTGGAGTGACCTTCTCCCCAGCACAGGACATGAGCCCATGAGGAGTCATATGCTTTCATCAGTTCTCCAAGAACTGGGATCTCCACACTTCACCTCTCTCAAATTCCTACAAGGCAGGAGGGAGGCCGCACAAGTCATGATCATTGTCTGGTCCAAATGCTGGACAAAGTGAAGGAGGCTGGGATTGCCGCAGGTGGGTGAAGATTCAGGCAGTCAGTGCAGAGGAGGCAGGGAAACGGCAGAGAGAGGTTCGCCAGGGCCTGGAGGCTTCGAGGGAAGACTCCTGTACCAGCGAGGGATGTCTGCACATTTCTTCCTTCTGATATGTATCTGTTAGTAAGAGCAGCAGCAGCTGAGGACAGGAAATATTTGTTTGTTTGTTTGTTTGTTTGTTTGTTTGGGACCATCTCTTTAGAGATCAAATGGAGGAGCTGCTGTCCGGGTGACATTGAACCCTGATGCCTCTCTCCAGACTCATGTGAGCCAGAGGTCCAGGCTGGCTGGGAGCCCCCCAGAGAGCAGGCATCTCCACAGTGACTCTGTGGGCTGCTCCCATGAGTTCCCTCTGAAGGCTGTGTCATATGTCATCTCAGTGTTCCTTTGTAAGGAAAGTAGATGGCCCTTCAGCTCAAAGACCCCCTAGTTATTCCTCCCACCTTCCCTCCATCCCTCCTTTTCTTCCTTCGGTCACCTCTATTGAAAGCTTCTGTGTGCCAGGCAGGTGCCCACTGTAGGGGACATGGGGGCTGGTGGTCTAATGCTAAAGGCTTTTCCCAGCTCTTGGAACCCATCCTAGCCCTATGTCCCCCTTGATGGCTTCGCTGGCTGTATGGCTTCACTGGGATGTGCGTAACAGCTCACCAGCTCAGGCTTCAACATCCCCACAGCTGCCACCCTGTCCCACCCTGCCCACGACTGTCGTCCTGACTGTTCCCTGCCTCAGCCAGGGACATCTCACCCACATTCCTTATCTCCAAATATTTCCTTGGTTTTGCCACACTATTCCTATGCAGCCTGAAACACCTTTTCTCCCCAACTCTTCTGATCCAAATCCTCTGCTCCTTCAAAACCCCGCTTCAAACCCTGGTTTAACCCCATCTCCTCCTCTGTGCGCTGAACTCTTCTGTCCACTGAGACCTGAGCTGCTGTGTTCGTTAGGACCTGGAGTCTGGGTGAAGGTCCAATGTCTCCCAGTCAGCTCTTCCCTCTGTACCTTTCCTCGGGGCCCAAGACCAACCTCTGGACATCCCTTCCCACGTGCCAGAGGACTGACGGTTGTTGGAGCATCGACCAAACAGCAGGGACAGTGCACCTTCAGGGAGCCCCTGGGCCTGCATCAGCTAAAAGGCCACCAGGTAGGAGCCCAGACGAGTCGCTTGCTGCAGGGGTCTGAATCCCACCCCACCAGCACCAGCAGCACGTAACCTCTCGAAGCTTCCATTTCCCTGACATAAATGGGATAATAAACTCCTCATAGGGTAGTAGTGACAATTACAGGCACTGATCCGTGTGAAGTGCTTGATATGGGCCTGCTGCTTATTCAGTGTTTAACAGATATTTCAATGACCAAAAGTAGGGAGTAAAGTGGAAGTTAGGACTCAGCCTGTCCTCTCCTCTTCTGCTCTCTCTCCTTCTTCCTGTCCTCTGGAAGAGGACGTCTGGATCAGCACATCTCCATACGGTGTCATCTGCTGTTGGAGGACAAGGAGGGACTGATGTTCCCAGAGACCCCAGGCTTAAGGAATCTCTCCACTCAGACCATGTCTGGTCATGGAAAATTCACCATTAGAAAGAATAATAATAGCCGCTGTCTTAACAAGTGTCTGCCGAGTGCAAAACTCAGTAGGGAACACTTTTCAAACATTAGTCCTCTCACAATTGATCCATTTATCAGATACTTACTGAGCACCTACCAGGTGCTGAGGGGGGCAACACCAAGCATTCTGTTCTTAAAGAACTTAATTTCTGGATCCATCCAAAGGCAGGTGTCCCTGGGAAAAGCATCTCATCAAGCTATTAACAAGTCATTAACACCTTAGCGTGAAGTAGTTAATCAGATACTGGCCATCAGGAATGAAACACACAATGTTGTTGATGAGGATGATGATAGGAGAGGAAGGTGGAAGAGTTCTGGGCCACCCACAGGAAGGGTGGGCCCATGTAGGTCTCCTAGGGTGCCTGTGTTTTTGCTGCAGGAAAAAGGGAGGGACAGAAGGAAACCAGAACAGAGCCACAGTTCAGCAAGGTTACGAAGGCCCTGCCCTAGCTTTAAGTCTCTGGAGAGATTCAGGGGTAGGAGGAAGCAGAGCCCCCTGCCTTGGGATACCTCTGCCGCTGGCAGGGGAGACTGGAGACAATTTCCTACATCCCATGTCCCAGCTTCATCTTCCCTCACACCCTTTGAGGTATCAGGATCACTTGGTTTTCTAGGCGAGAATTAAATTTGGAGCCAGGCACGGACATCTCTGAGTCTCCGTTTTACTCATTTGTGAAATGGTGGGGAAGTATGTCATATCAGAGAATCAAACCCCCAAGTTTCCAGGACCCCATAGTTTTCCTTAGACACTCAAGGAAAATTTAAATTGCGTGTTAAATAAATGACATTTGTATGGTTCTTGATTTTTTTAGCCAAAATGTTTTATTTCATTTACCTAAATAATTTGTAGCTTTTTTTGGTGGTCTTTGTTTCTACATTGTGGTGATCAATTGGACATGTTTGTTGTGATCCCATGGCTCCAGTCAAGACCCATTGGCTCCTTACTGTCAGCCTTTAGGGTCTGATAAACCACGAGAGAAGGTCTCAGAGGGAGACAGGCAAGAAATCTAGTATAATCCAAGAGAGTAATTGCTAGATGAGAGAAAAAGAAAAAACACAGAGGAGAGGGGACGCTGAATCCACAAGGGCTGCCTGGAGGAGGGGGTTTGGTTCCAGTCTATTAGGGGAAAAAGCCTTGGGTAGACTGGCAATGCGGAATGGCAAAAGCAGTCCAGGAAGGGCATTTGTGAGGAAAGGACCCTGCAGCTGCAGCAAGTACTAGTGAAGGGCAACCACAGGTGAGGACTCATAGAGCGCAAGCTCTGTATGTGATAGGATGAGTGATAGGGAGCCACTGAGGGCTCTTGAGCCAGGCAGAACCTAAGCAATACAGTCTGAGGAAGCAGAATGTGGAGGCTGGTGGGTAGGAGTAGTGGGGGTGGGGAGAAGCTGGAGGCACTGAGAGAGGGGCAGGTGGTTCTCTGAGCAAATAATCGTCTCCAAAATTAAAGAGAATGAGCTGGGTTATTTGGCTGACATCAGCTCGGATCCTGCCAGCTCTGCTCAGCAGACTGACTCAAGAAGGGAGCATGCTACTTGTGAGCCCCCCGCAGGGGTCCCTCCTCATACCCTTATACCCCCTGCAGTTCCAGGCAGGTGAGGCACTGAGCCCCAAGCCAGCTGGATGGAGTGCAGTCTCTGGGGGACTTGGCTGCAATCAGAGCCACTCATCTGGGGGCAGGATGGCTGTTCAGCAGGTTTGAAGCTGGCAAGGCTGAAGGTGAGCTCATCCCAGAGGAGCTGGGGTATAAAGGATGGAGAAGGGCTATCCTGGCAGGCACTCAGCTCCACTCCCACCCACAGTGTGGCTGCCAGAGAGGCTTACTCCTCACTCAGCTCTGGGGCCGGGAGCATCTCCTTCGAGCTTTGCTGACCATCTTCTTCCTCCAGTCCCACCCTAAGCTTCTGGTGAAGGGTGTGGATTATGGGAATCTGAGGACCCAGGTCCAGGTCCTGCCAGGTGACCATGGGCAGGTCTCCCAACTTCCTAAGCCTCTGTTTCCACATCTCTAAAAAGGGGGCTGTTCATACCTGCTCCCAGGGGTAGATGGGAGACACCACTTAAATAATCATGATGATGATGATGCTGATACTACTAATGATAGCTACCACACGCTGTGAGCTCTGTGGGGTACCGCTCTGAGCACTTCCCATGTAGTAACTCATTTAGTCCTCTCAACAGCTGTGTGAGGCAGATACTATTATTACCCTGTTTTGCAAATGGAGATACTGAGGCACCAAGAAATTAAGTAACTCACTGGAGGGCACACAGCCACACAGCTCATGAGCAGAGGAACCAGGGCTCAATCCCAGCAGCCTGGTGACAGTGTGCACGCTTAGCCTCTATGCTGTCCTGGCTTGATCGTGTACAGATGTCCAGCACAGGTGCCTCTCCTTTTCCAGGTGTACAGGACCATCTCTAGTCTCCCCCAAGCTCCAGTTCTGTGTCCCTGCTCTCCCTCCATCATCTGAACCTCAACGTGATGAAATGTGCTCGCCAGGACCGACTTCCTCCCACTCTTCTTCCTGCCACCACAGACCCTCCAGCCAGTGGGATCTGACCCCACGCTCTCCTTCTCAGC